ATACAGCCCTGTCGCACTCCCTTCCTGATTTTAAACCATGTAGCATACATACACACGTGGGTGGCACAGATGGTTATGTGTTCAACTACTAGCAAAAGGTTGGCAGTTCAGACGCACCCAGCACCACCTGTAGAAACAGTCCCAGGGATCTGCTTCTGAAAGCACAGCCTTGAAAACCCTATGGAACAGTTCTACTCTGCACACATGGAGCCACTATGAGGCAGAGGCAACTCAATGGCAACTAAAACAACACAAAATGTACATACTTAACATGTTTTTCCCTATTACAATGAGATAAAGAGCAATGATCAAGCTGTTGTTGTTATGTGCCATCGAGTTGGACCCGACTCATAATGACCCCTCTTTGGGTTCCTGAGGTGGTATCACTATGGAAGTAGATGGCCCAACTTTCAGTCAGCTGCTACCTGAAAGGTTGGTGATTCAAACCCATCAGCTGTTCCATTGAAGAAAAGACCAGCTGATCTGCTCCCATAAAGATTTCAGCCTAGTAGCCTATATGGAAGAGCTCTGGTGCTGCATTGCCTAAGACTGCTAACCAGAAGGTTGGTGGTTCAAACCCACCAGCCACCCCATGGAAAGAAGATGAGACAATCTACTTCTATAAAGATTTACCACCTTGGAAATCCAATGGGGTTCCCTATGAGTTGGAATCAACTCTATGGAAGTGGATTTCCTTTTTTTTGGAAACCTTATGGGGCAATTCTACTCTGTCACATGGGGTGTTTATGAATCAGAATCAACTTGACAGCACACAACAACATTAGCATGAGATGTGCACAAATGGTTAAGCACTTGGCTACTATGGTAGTTAAGTTTGTATGTCAACTTAGCTGGGCCTGGTTGAGTGGCTGGGCAGCTAGTAGTAGTTATTCCCCATGATGAGACTGGCAATCAGCTCCATGGTGGGATCTACCACAGACAGCTGAGTAGCTGCTTTAGGGATGTGGCTACTTCCCATATATAAGAAGCAGCTTTGGGAATGGTCTCTAGCTTATGGTGTGCTTGAACCCTGCATGTAGCCATGCTGTTGTTCAGCAGCCTGTCATGCTCTGCTGACCTTTGGACTTTCAATGGACTTGAATCAATGGCTTGCTGTGTTTGGTAACATTGGGACTGTGCCTTTTTACTTGTCGACCTTGAGTTTGTCAGCGTCAGCAGCCAGCAAATGTCTGAGTGAAGAAAAGCTTCCTGCTTCAGTGGGCTGGGATCAAGAGGCAGAGCTGAAGCCCAAGATTGAGGGGCTTTCACCCAGCCCCTAAGAGCCTGGCACTTTGAACTTGCAGTTAAAGCCTCCAAACTGTAAGAGAATAAATTCCTGTTTGTTAAAGCCATACCATTTGTGGTATGTTCCTGAGTGGCTCTAGGTAACCAAAATATCTACTAACTGAGAAGCTGACAGTTTGGACCCACCCAGAGGCACCTTGGGAAAAAACCCTGTTGATCTGCTTTTGAAAGGTCATGCCATGAAAACCCTATGAAGTGCAGTATCACTCTACAACACATGGGGTTGGCATGAGTCAGAATCAACACGAAGCCAAAAGGTTTGGTTTTGATTTTATTTGAATGAGAGCTCCATGGGAGGAAGAACTTTGTTTTGTTCACTGCCTAGCCCCAGTGCCTAGACCAGTGTCTGGCACATAATAGGGGCTAATATGTATTTATTTATTCATTAAAAAAAGAATGAATGAAGCTGACTTAATTTTTCTTTTTTGAAGAGGTAAAATATAAATAAAACAAAATGAATTGTTTGCTGCTCACCATTCCATCATTTTCCAATCTGAGTTTCTCAATTAAGAACAATTTGGATAATGTCTGTAAAGTGCTTTGAATTTCATGGAGAACTGAAAGCTTTCAGCAAAACTGGATGTGGAGTTTTTGAAGATATATAAAATCTTTTATTTTAAACTTGTAAGAGTGATGAAAATACACATGTTGTATTTGCATTTTTAAAGTTAAAAAAATTAGGCATAAACTCCTGTCATTCTGAGGAATCTGTTATTGACTCAAAACATAGTTGTGTGAAGGCAGCTTGTATGGGCAGAATATTCATTAGTGTAAGAAAGTAGAGTAAGTTTGCCAAGTCTGTTTATTTAATCACATGTATTTCAATGTTCCTTATTTATTTATATCATAAAATAATATTCTGATAAATATTTAGTTCTAAGTTAGGTCTAGTTGTGATACATAGAGTTTGAAGAGTTAGAAATGGGAAATTGATTTAATAATGAAGGCACTAACTATTGAATCTCATCAGATTTCTACATGATGATAAAGCCTTTATAAACTATTTCTATTTTTGCCACAGGTTAGGGTATGCAAGAATCTCCCATGCTGAACTTAGTGACTCTGAAATTCAGATGGCCAAATTTAGCATCCCTGATGATCTCGTTAATTACAGAGACAACCAGAAAGTGGTCATTGACCCCAGAGAAGTTCCTGAGAAAATTCATTTCAATCCCAGGTGAGTGAGTTTCTCTATGTTGCAGAGCACAGTTATGAGTGTTTGGTCAAGTAGGGAGTCAGTGAAAACAAGGGATATCCTCAGTGAGATGGATTGATACAATAGCTTCAACAATGGACTCAAACATACCAATGACCATGAAAATTGCAGGACTGGGCAATGGTGCATTTTGTAAGGTTGCCATGAATCAGAGCTGACTGGATAGTTAAGAGATACCACACACATGCAAAAAAAAAAAAAACCACCTCACTGCCATCGAGTCGGATCTGACTCATAAGGACCCCTCCTTTGGTTTCCAAGGCAGTATCTCTATGGAAGTAGATTGCCCAGTCTTCCTTCCAAGGAGCAGCTGGTGGGTTCAAACCAGCAGTCAAATGCGTTAGGCACTACCCCACCAGAGCTCACCAGAGATACCACATACCACCTCAAAATTAGCTACAAATTGTATTTGATTCTAATTGTTCATTCCAGGTAAGGGAACTCATGGTAAAGATAAAATCCTATTTCAATTGAATATTCCCTGCTTTCTGAGATGCAGGAAGCTGTTATGGTTCCAACCTCAGGTGAAAAGGACTATATCATCATCATCATTATCATTGTCACCATCATTATCTTCATCAAAGTACCTAATATTTGGGTGCTACTATGTATCAGATGGGAGCTCTGGTGGTGTAGTGTCTAAGGCATTTGACTGCTAACCAGAAGGCTGGCGGCTCAAACCCATCAGCCGTTCTTCGGAAGGAAGACTGGACAATCTACTTCTGTAGTGATACCGCCTTGGAAACACAAGAAGGGGGTCACTATGAGTTGGGACCGACTCGACAGCAGTGAGTTTGGTTTGGATTTTATGTCTCAGAAAAACAGGCTTAGTGGCTGAATGGTTAACCACTTGGCTGCTACCTGAAAGGTTGGTGGTTCAAACCCACCCAGTGGCTCCACTGGAGAAAGACTTGATGATCTTCTCCCTTAAAGATTACAGCCTAGAATAGCCTATGGAGCAGTTTTACTCTGTCAGATGGGGTCACTATGAGGAGAAAATCAACTCAGTTCACCCAACAACATGTCTCAAATCCTGCTCTAGGTGATTTGTGTGTGTTGTTATCCCATTTATCGACAAGGAAGCTAGGGTGGGAAATGTGACAGAGCTAACAAGTGGGAAAGTAGCTTGTTAGCATCCTTAGGTTGCCATGATTCTCAGCTCTGGCTGCACCTTAGATTCATCTGAGACACTTTTAAAAAATACTGCTGCTTATAGCCTACCAACAGACCAATGATTTAGAAGCTCTTAGAGTGGTACCTGGGCTTAGGGATTTAAAAAATATTTCCAGATTATTCCAATGTACAGTTAGGATTGAGGATGACAGGCATAAAAGTCAGACTATGTGGAGTGGATCCAATTTTTTACATTGCAGATATTTTACCATGCAAAATATATTGGGTTTTGCTTTGCTTTTAATAGTGGTTATCTGAAATGTCTATTTGCAGCAGAATGTGTGATTTGGAATATGTCCACTTTTCTCCCCCTGACTGGGAAAGGAGAGGAAATTTCTGCATAAAATGAAATTTGGAACATGTCATGTACATTATTATTATTATTTGCCATTTCTACTGTTTTTCAGCTAAAAGCTATAGAAATTTCTCAGAGTTCATTGTGTAGTGGAAAATGGAGATATCTCTCCATCCTCTTTTTCTGCTTTTTTCCACCTTATAACTAGAAAAAACTGCCCACAAGTGTAGGCAATTAATAAGAGAAGACCTCTAACTAAGTCTTGATTGGCTTCCATTATTGTACTTTTATGTTGCCTTTTATATGTGTAATGTAGTTGTGAAAGGCGGGGACTCTGGGATCAATTGTCCTGGGTTCAAATCCTCACTCTTGCCAACTAACTGGGTAGTTCTGGGCAAGTTGCTTAACCTTCAAAACCACAAGTCATTCACTGAAAAAAAAATATATTAGTGCCTAAGCTGTCCTGGTGGCACAGTGATTAAGTATTGTTGTTGTTGTTAGTGCCATTGAGTCAGTTTTGACTCATAGCAACACTATGTATAACAGAACAAAACACTGTCCAGACGTGTGCATATTCACAATATTTGCCAAGCATGTGACCATCATCACAGCCATTGTGTGAATCCATCTCATAGAGGGTCTTCCCCTCCTTCATTAACCTTCCACCTTACCCAGCATGATATCCTTCTTCAGGGACTGGTCTTTCCTGACAATGTGATCAAAGTATGAGAGACAAAGTCTGGCCTCTATCCCTTCTAAGGAGCATTCAACTGCACTTCTTACAGGACAGATTTGTTCTTTCTCTAGCAGTTCATGGTATTTTCAGTATTCTTCACCAATACCACATTTCAAAGGCATCAATTCTTCTTTGGTTTTCCTTATTCATTGTCCAGCTTTCACGTGCACATGAGGTGATTGAAAATCCTATGGCTTGGGTCAGGCACACCTTAGTCTATAAAGTGGCATCTTTGCTTTTTAACATTTTAAAGAGGTCTTTTGTAGCAGATTTGCTGAATGCAATACATCTTTTGATTTCTGTGGGCATTGATTGTAGATCCTAGTAAATGAAATCCTTGACAAACTTCAATCTTTTCTCCATTTGCTATGTTGTTACTTATTGGTCCAGTTGTGAGGATTTTTGTTTTCTTCATATTGAGGTATAATCCATAGCAAACTCTAGTCTTTAATCTTCACTAGTTCTCTTGACTGCAAGCAAGTTTGTGTCATCTGCATATCACAGGTTGTTAATGAGTCTACCTCCAATCCTGATGCTGGTTTTTCTTCATATAATCCAGCATCTCAGATTATTTGCTCAGCATACAGATTGAATAAGTATAGTGAAAGGATAGAACTCTGACGTGCACCTGTTCTGATTTTGAACCAGGAAGTGTCCCCTTGTTCTGTTCAAACAACAGCCTCCTGGTCTATGTACAGGTTACTCATAAGAACAATTAAGTGTTCTGGAATTCCCATTCTTCACAAAGTTATCCATAATTTATTATTATTCACACAAATGCCTTTGTATAATCAGTAAAACACAGGTAAACATCTTTCTGGTATTCTTTGCTTTCAGCCAAGATCTATCTGACATTAGCAATGATATCCCTCATTACACATCCTCTTCTGAATTCAGCTTGAATTTCTAGAAGCTCCCTGTCAATAGACTGCTACAACTGTTTTTGAATTATCTTTGCAAAATTTCACTTGCATGTGATCTTAATGGTATTGTTTGATAATTTCCACATTCTGTTGTATCAGCTTTCTTTAAAATGGGTACAAATAGAACTTCTTCCACTAGTTGGCCTGATACTTCTATTCCAAATTTCTTGGCATAAATGCATGAGCCCTTCTAGCGCTGCATCTACTTCTTGAAATATATCAATAGGTGTTCTGTGAATTCCCGGAGCCTTGATTTTTGCCAGTTCCTTCAGTGCAGCTTGGATTTCTTCCTTCAGTACTGTCAATTCTAGATCATATGCTACATCCTGAAATGGTTGAATGTCGACAAATTATTTTTTGGTAGAGTGAATCTGTGTACTCCTTTCATCTTCTTTTAATGCTTCCTGCATCATTCAGTGGGAGCTCTGGTAGCTTGACTCCTAACCAGAAGGCTGGCGGTCCAAACCCACCAGCCACTCCCTGGAAGAAGGCTGGGCAATCTACTTCCATAGTGATACTGCCTCAGAAACCCAAGGAGGGGTCACTATGAGTCGGGTCCAACTTGACGGCAGATAACA